TCTTTTGACCATTTTCAGTGTCTGACATTTTATTTTATTTTAATATTATTTTAAATAATATTTTTTGCACTCGCCGCGTATGTGCATGTGTGTGTCCTTATTGTTTCGTCCTGTCGCCACTCCCCCCTCCGTGTCGCCCCCTCGCTTGTACACTTTGGGCTGCTCCTTTGTTCCTCCGTTCGTTTTTGGAGTAGCTCTTGAGTTACGTTGCCATTTTCGTGCTGTGTTCTCCGGTGGCTGTCGCTCTCTTTATTATTTGAGCATTTATTTTGCATATTGTATTTTGTATTCTGTATTTTGTATTTTGTTTGTTTTTTATCCGCCCTTTGTGGCTCAAGTGCTGGGCTATAGTGGAGAGAATTGCTTTTTAGTTTTGAGCATTTCAATTGCAGAGCAATTTCATTTTATTTTATACTTACATAGGTGTTTGAGGGGAGCACCAGTGATTGTTATTCCTGATTAGTTAAGATTTCTTGTTTCATTTATAAACTAACACAACCAATTAAAAAACCATCAAACAATACGAATGTCCTTTAAAATCCCTTACATTTTACTTAACTAGCACGTGCCAATTATATTCAATGGCAAGTCAGTTCAGTTCAGAGAGATCAGAGTATTTCACGTGTCCTACACAAAGGAATCGACACACTCACAACAGTACAAACAAAAAAACTGTTGGACAAACAACAACGCCCCTTGATGACGCAAATCAAGGCATTTAGATATTTATCGCACTTTTAACTTGATGGTTAACCCCATCGCGCCCAACCTCCCAACCACTTAGATGCCCAGAAAACCACCCAGCCGAACCACTTTCCGCTCGGCTCACACGTTGATGTCAACCACAGAGACAGGCGACAGACGACGGCTACACGTGACATTTACGCAGTTCAAAAATCAAAATCCAAATCAAAATCCGAGCCGTTTTGACGAGGTTCAGGGATATGCAAACAATGGCCAGGGTCCTGGCCCTTCGTGGAGTGCAACAACCCCGAATGCGTCCCACGCTATTTAAAATCCATTTAGCACTCATTTACTTGCATAGTTTGGGTGGGTTTTTTAAAAACGATTTTGAAAATAATTTATAAATATCCTGAGGTACAGTTGCCTTATCCGGCGACCCAATCATTAAGAACTCAGGGGGAAACATAGCTCACATGTCGGCTGGGATAAAAAGAATCGAACAGCTTCTATTGAGGAGGCAAAAGCAAATGTAAAAAATCATTTAAAAGACAACAATCGGAAGAAAGAAAAAAACAAGCACACACACACAATATGTAAATTATGAATTTTGTGTAAACAAAATGCCGAGTGAGTGCATCAAAGAACAGGTCTTCGGGGTGAGCCATTAGGCATCCATCCCAGCTACTGTATTAATTCATATGCTCAGCCACATCCACATCCAAAATGGTCATATCATGTGTTTTCCTGGCTGCTTGGGCGGCAAACACAACTAACAGCCAAAAACCAAAAACCGAAAATCAAAATTAAAACCGAAACAAACCACACAGCACATAAAAATGAATCGAAAAAAATTGATTTCTCATCGTTTTCATGGCAGTTGCTCAACAAAGGGCGACGGCCACGCAGGTTTCACTATTTTGATGGACTCTCTGCTTATTAGCCGACTGGGACTGGCTGACAAACTGCCCCAGTCTCTATTTTTAATAAAAAATAAATAAAACACTGAACGGTGTAGTTTTACTGTGGTATAAGTCATTCTTAGACTTAATCATAAAGAATATTCAACATACTTATCATACATAGGTATGTATATACAATTCATACTAACAGGTTAATCAATTGATTTATTAAAATGGTAAAGAATAAAAAAATATATTAAGCATAAATAATACATTTTAAAATGTTAAATAATCATATTTTATATGAAAATTGCCTATATAATTAAATAATAAATAATAGTTAATAGTTAAATATATTCCATTAAATGTAATATATTGGATAAAAGATAATTCAATAATATTTTGTTTCAAAACTAAAACTTGTTTGCCTTACTCCCCATTGGAAATTTGTTAAAAAAAAGTGAAAAGTACTTCTATAAAAGATATTATATTTCCCAACTAATAAAATCACAGCTTCCACTGTACTTTGGCGGCAAAACGGTCTAGGCCACCTACTTTACACGTTTGCTACTTGAAATGGCATTTGTTTTCTTTTCTTTCGGGTTTTTTTCACTCATCCTTCGGGTCGGTTCACCGCGCTGTCTGTTTGTGAAACAACATCGCTTCTTTTTGGGGTGAAGTTTTCAGTTTTTTCGGAGAGGGGGTGGCAGGGGCTGCCACCAAATTAGTTGTTGCTATATGGCCTCTGACCCACCGCTTGACAAGCCGCAGATTGGGTTACGTTGCTCAATGAGTCGCTGTATCTTTCATGTGGGGCTTGAACAAATAATTACTCGCCAGAGGAGAAAACATTTCAAATGCGGAAAAGCAAATAATAACAAATAAGTGAAACTAATGCCGCGGCAAATCTCCAACAGACCACCCTCGAATTAGCCACGAAAAAGGAAAACATATGCCCCGGATAATCTTGAGCTGTTAAGTAACCCTTTCGGGCAGGGATTCGCTGGTGACCTCAGGCTGGGACATCCAGTGTGCCATTTCTTGGACTTTCTCTAATTGATGGCACTTCTCCAGAGGCATGTGCCATCTGCCAGGAGTAAACCCCTTTCTCCCTGATCTATTTCTTTCGCATTTTTTTGTACTTTTGTATTTTGTTCCCATTGCCTTTCGGCTGTATCTGAGGTTCGATCTGTCTATTTCTTTCGGCCGGTTGGATTGGATTGTTTGTTAGCTTCCCCTCTCCGGTAATCGACTGCCATTAATTCATTGTCTATTATCAAGAATTTCCATGGCTGACATTGTATGCATTTTGTGCCGCCACTCGAGGAGCATATGCATGTTGCCTGCTGTTTCTGGTTATGCCCCCGTTTCAACTCTTTGGCAGTGATGGCTAGATAGTTTTTTCTATAAATATATATTTTTTGAAATCTAAATGTAGGCTATATAGGTCGATTAAATGGCTAGCTAGTCTACTTTATCTTAAGACTTACTGATAAATAAAAAATATATCCTACCTATTCTTCTTAAGCTTTTATGTTCAATTACGTTTTAAATAAATAAGTTGTAATTTGTATGTAATATCCAGATGTCATAAAACATTTTCCAACTGTATGATACCCGCTACCTATAAAAAAAACTATGTCATACCCTCTACTTGGCCATGAATTTATCTAAGCTGGCATCTCTGCTGTTGGCTCTTCTCCAGCTTCATTGTTCGCTTATAACTACATGGGCCACTGCTACTCTAAGATATTATCGACAGCTCGTCCTCCAACAAGCGACTGACTGACTAGCCGGGCTCACCAGTGTGTCCTGTCCTTTCCTACCCCATTCCATTCCTGCGCCTCCCTTTCCGCCTTTGTCCTGGCCATTGTCCACTCTATTTGAGAGGGGCCGGTGTGGCTATGCGGTTTCGCTATCCTAACCCACCGGCATTGTTATGCCCTGACAATGGTACATAGAGTCCCTTGTTTGGGGTCCTGCCAACAAACACACACGCACGCACACATGCATAAATATGCACATAAAGGAGCGGGACAGGACGAGGGCACACATCCAGGTTCATCCTTGTTGCTGTTGACTTTTCGAGTTTGGCAAAGCGCACAATGGACAAATTGATATCCAATAATTTAATTTTGTTATCCATTCAGTCGCATGTTGGAAAATAGTTTTGTAATTTGCACTCGGCATGTGTGTAACCGATATTATTGTCCATCCGATTTGGCCCTCTCCTCCCCTTCCTTGATGGCTATTGTAAAATTTCGGAAAATGTTCAGAAAAGGAGTATGGAAGTGTGGGCGATGGCTGGGTAAGTTGTGTGTTTGTGTGGGCATTAGTTTTATTATAATTTTGTTTATCCTGTCGTGTGTCCGAATAGTGAAAACAAAAACAGCTCGACCCGTTTATGCGAAAAAGGATTTCACACTTTTCCCTGCCTGGTGTGTGTGTGTGGCATAGACACCAGCAGTGCGGAATAGTTATCCTGGGTAATTTTTTGGGGGCGGCTGGGTCGTGTGGCAGTGGCCTCAGAATAGTGGCAAATAGATAATGATGATACGGATTAACGCTTTGAATTATTATTTGCCCATTACGCTTTTGTGATGACCAGTTGGAAAATTCCAAAATGTGGGTGGCCATTATAATTGGTCGTTTTTGTTCTGTGGGTAGAGTTTTGGAGTAAACTCCTTTTGTTTTGAAATCAATTCCCACGATTATAAATTTTCATGCTGCGAAAATTAAATATTTATTTAGCTGCTGAAAACTGTAAAATTGCGGTGGTGGCTATGGAAAATAAATCAATTAAATATTTGTATTAATTGGTTTGATCTGCCAGCTTCCACAAAGGAAACTAATTAGAGGAATTTACTTAAGGCCCAATAAAAGGTACTTTGAATTGATTCTTATAAATTTATTGAATTATTTTTTAGATTTATTAAATACTTTAACACAGTGTTTGAAATGTTTTTTTATCTAATACATAATATGATATTTTATATAATTTTATATGCTCGTATTTATTATGGTACACACGTATATCTCATTTAGTTGGATTGGATGCGATTTAATAATCCCTTACACAATAATCTCATCATCCTATATTTTTAATTTCGTCTAAACAAATATATCTTATGGCTTAACTGGGTTCAAGTTTTCGATTGATACATACATATAGTTATAATTACGATGTCTATATTACAATACTTGAGCTAGTATTTTAAGGGTAAATATAATTTACACTTATTCTTCGAAATATCTAAAACAAATTGAGGAAACTGGATAAGCACGGAAATTTAGATATAATAAAGGCATTTAAATGGCTAATTTAATTCTTGCCTTCAAACATCTTGCGAGAAAAATTAAATTAGTTTTAAAAACCTTTTTTGAAATCGAATCACTCATTTCATTGAGGCTACTCCTTTTTTACTCGAAAGGCCGGAAAACGGCAGCGCCGCTGGCCTCCGCCTCGATGCCTCAATCTTGGGAGTCCCCGGCATTGCTGCTGCGATCCAATCCGATACCGCCGGCTCCGTTGGACTCCGACTGCTCGATATCCGCCGCACTGAGAACACCCGGAAGGTAGCCCGTTCCGGCATACGGTGCGGAGAGGAACCTCTTGGCGTGGGCCTGCATGAAAGGATGATATCGGTGTGTGGGCGAACCGAAGACCGAGGGCGGAACCAGCGGGGAGAACGCAGATTTCATGGGAAAGGGTGGCGACGGCGGCACCTGGGGTGGCGTCTGCCCCAAGTCCTCCCCAGCCAGCATGCACTCCATGGCCTGGAGCACGTCCCCACGGAATCTCTGCATCAGTTGCTCCACATCGCTTCGTCGCCGATTGGGAAAAACTCGCATCAGGACATCAATGGGAGATCGCTGCTGTTGTTGCTGTTGCTGTTGATGTTGGTGGTGCGGCTGCTGTTGCTGTTGCATGTGCGGCGACTGTTGGTGGTGCGGCGAGTGGGCCGGTGGATGGTGGTGCGTGGGCAGTCCGGCGGCGGCCAGGAACTGCGTGTGGTGGTAAGGCATAAAGCCCTGACCATGATTGCTGCTAAAGGTTCGCAGTAAATGCAAGTTTTCGGCGGGTGTGTTTGGCGGCGATTGACTGTCCTCCTTCTTGAGGCTGAGATTCTCCGGCGTGGCCTCATCCGGTGCAGAATCGACATCCAAATCAGACTCGGGTGAGCTGGGCGGACCGGTTCTGGCGGGCGACAAGCTGGCGGTGAGATTGAACAGACCAGCCACTTTTGGCCGGGGACTGCTGGGTGATCCGGACTCTGAGCCCGTGTCCTGATCGGTTTCATTGGAAAGGGGAGCTCCTCGTTTTGAAACTGCAAGTGGATAAATATGAAAAAAACTTTAATTTAGAATAATAATTAAAAACCGGGGGATTCTAATGACTAATGGTTAGGATATAACACCCCAAAGAACAAGAGCAGAGCTCTTAATTGGTAATACACCTTGGTTATTCACCTTTCTCTGCCAGGTAGAATTGCAAGTGGAAACTGTGCGGTTTTCCACTTGACAGGTCAGAGCAAATAAAAGTATCAAATACAGAACTGGGAAAAAATGTAATCACGGGAATCGCAAACACAAGTAGTGGGAAGGAGGAAGGGATCACAGGATACGTTGACATGCCAACCTAGGACAACCTGCTGATTTTTTTGTTGTGTGTTCACAAATGAAACAAGCTATACGATATTTTTTTCTTTTTTTGTTTCAGCTACCTTTTTTTTGTTGTCTATTTGATTTTGCAGTTGACGAAGCCGCAGTGAAAATTTAATTAAGTCGAGGGTGCGTGGATACCAATATCGAATACCGAGTTTTGTAAACCCAATCGCAGTAACCGAAAATAAAAATTCAAGCGTAAAATCGTCTAGAGTTTCATTGCAAATAACGATTCTAGTACTTAAATAGACAGGTTTTCTTCGATTGATTCGCGTGAGAAATCTGGTGTGTTTTTCTTTCTCAAACAGGAGGGAAAAATAAAACAACATCGTCCTTTAAAAAGGCAAACAAATAAAGACAAGTGAGCTAAGCGGGGTAGTATCTCACGTTACGCCCTTTTCAGGTCCCTCAGCATGGGGTTGTCTTACCCCCCATGACAGCAGATAGTCCTAATGAGTGGGTGAAGTTGAAAGGTCTTTGATATCCTTGCGCCCCGTTAGACTTTGTAACAGTTTGGCATTTTCTTGGGGCTCGAATTGTATGGGAAGGTAAGTTTCAAGGCAATCAAGATGATCTGGTTAGAATTGATTGGCTTAGTTGGGATAATGTAGAAAAACATAATATTATGTTACAATAACTTTTATTGTGTGTTCTCCGAAAGATTTCTTTTTAAGAAAATCTTTTCTGTATAATACGTGAGATATGTGTGGGAAACTGTGGGAACATATTACAAGGCCTTAAGATTTCTGGATTTCATTTTTAAACCATCTGATTCTCTTTAGGGGTTGTAAAGTCAAGTACTGGTTCCCTAACGAGTACTTTAAGTTAATTGTTGCAATTTGAACTCGTAAACGTCCTGGTCCCCCTAGCTCACATGAACGCAACCCCAGGACATTTTTATGCGCGGTTAGCAAAGTGCAAGGCTGGCTAAATCTTTGTCAAAACAACACCCAGGACCCAACACCCAACACCATGCACTCGCACACGTCGGCACTTACACACATGCAGCTATGCACATGCAACCGCGAGTGTGGCACTTTATGCACCGTTGATTTTTTAACAATTGAAAACAAATTTTTCTTGCCACCCAAGACTTAAAGACCACTCTTAGACGAGGCCAGGCATAAACAGGCTCTTTGGATGACAAAAATGCAAAAAGGGGAATTTACAGAGAAAAATATTTAAAAACTAAATATGAAATATTTTCAATTTGGAATAATAAGTTATAACCCCCTAACCATTATATATTTTTTTAAGACTCTCTTAGTTTGAAAAGTAAGAGAATGGCTTCTTTAAAAGACGCATCTGAGAACCACTTTAATATCTCATTTAATCGAACTTGTCTAAGTTTTCTCTGTGAATGCTTGGCTTCTTTGACTTACCGGGACTCTCGTCCAGCTCGGTCCTCGTGGGCGAGAAGCCCACGCTCAGGTGCTCGGAACGGGTGCGTCCATCCGTGTCGGATTCATTGCCATTGAATCTCTGCGATTGCTGGTGGCTGTGGTTGTGTTGCTGCTGGGCATGTGGCTGTTGCTGGTGGTGCGATGGCTGCTGCTGCGGATGCTGGAGATGATTGGTAGTGGAGCTGGCATCGAAGCCGTCGCTCGGCGGCGATGGTATTCCGCCGTGGAAGACGCCGTTCTGGCCAGATCCGCCGCTGGCCGAGCCGCCGCTGCCACTGTGGTTGGGACTGTGCGGGGTGGGTGTGGTGCTGTCGCCGCCATTCTGTTGGCCAGGAACGGATGTATAAAGTAGGCCCAGTTCGCGGGCCTCGTTTTCCTCTTGAGCTTGTTGGCGGCGCAAGGCAACCTGGAAAATATGAGATTGGGAAGATAACGTTTTAGTAAAGAAAATTATATGGTATCTGCTATAACTCCTTGCTTTATCAAATTTTTTTTTTAGAAACCCACCTGAGCAGCCATAACCCTTTGACGTTCTGCAATCAGAGTGCATTTAGCGCAAACACAGTCCCTCCAGCGGCAATAGCGTTTGTGGCCCTTTAAGGCGCTGACCTGTGAAAACAATTTGTTTTTAAAATCCAGAATTATTGCTTGCAATAGTCCTGAAGAACCTACCACGCCATGGTTCCGACAACGGGCACATTTGGGTGTCCGTTGATAGCGTTCCGAGGCGGCTCGGAGGAAGAAGGCAGGTGGCAGGGCGCCAAGTACCGGATGTTGCGACATCAGGTTCTGCATGTCCACACCCGACGGCAGACTCATGGTAGTTTTTTGTAGTTTTTGGTAAGAAACTGGCGAACTTTCAAGCACTCACTGCCACTAACACTTTCTTTGTTTCTGTAATTCTCAGTTGTTTCTTTTTTTTAGTATTTTTGGGTGTTTTCGATTAATATTTAATTAGTTCCATGGGATAGATCATAGTTTTGAAATACTTGTGAAATAATTTCAGAAAGACGCGCCCGCTAACGACATGACACACTGAGGCCTCGATTGCAACTGATTCAACTTTTTGGTCAAAACCCCAAGCGCACAGCTCAGGAATAAGCAGCAGCAGCAATGGCGGCAAGCGGCAACATTTACCAATACAAAAGCGGATCACAAACCCACACACACACACTGACAGAGAGACACACTTTTAGCCCCTGGCGAATCGAGGGTTGAAAGTACATATACAGATTCGGAGAGTGTTGCAACCACCTTTGTTGTGCGGCGCAGCTGCTTGCGTCGGCGTCAGCGTTGGCGTTAGCGTTGGCAGCGAAGCCTGCAGCTGCGGCAGCATCAGCATCAGCAACAGCAACGGCAGCAGCCGCCCAGCAATTAAGAAAAAAGTTTCAAATCTAATTTGGTACTGTATACAAAATTGTGCACTCGAGGCGGCGACGCGGCGTATGAGCAATGTGGAAGGAGGCAACTCAGGGATTGGTTTTTGAATTGGTGGTGTGGTGTGGCGAGGGTAGTAGTGGTGGTGGTGGTGTTGGCGGTGTGTGTGTGAGTGTGCTATTTGGTCTGGTGGTTGTTTGAGGTTTCTTTCATTTTCTTTGTTGCCTTTGTTTCACAATTTACTTATTTTTTTGGTTTTTTGTATTTTTCTTTGATGCGTGTCTGTGTGTGAGAGAGCTTTGGGCCTTGCTAATGGAATAGCCAACCAAAAGCGTTGTTGTTGCGACCTCGCCGCTGGTTGGCATGGCGGTACCCTTACCACTCACACACACAGGCACACTTGTGCCTATTTCTGACACAGTTGGCAGAGTCGTTGTTGTTGCCTTTGGAGTGGAGCACCACCCCGCCCCCACCAACCCATTTATGTATTAGTTTCAGCGGTGAGGGTCGCCCAAAAGTTTTTGCTTTGGTTTTTGGCATATTGCCACTTGCTTTTCAATTTCAGGCCGTCGAAAATGTCTGGAGTGTGTGCTAAAATCCAAATGAATAAAAAGGCGCCTATTTCAGGCCCAGAAATAATTGTTTATTTGTTTGTTATGTTCTAGAAAAGGCATCAACTGTAAAAGAGCTAAATGGGTGGCCTTAAAACTTCCATATACGTTTAATTCTTTCCATATACGTTTAATTTTAGCGATCAGGAGTTTAAGGTCTAGCTACTTATACATTTTTTAAGTAAATGAAAGATTAATAAATTTGTTTTTTTAAATATTTGGCTTCTTAAATCTCTTCAAATAATGTGTCCGGTTTCAAGTAAATGAATTAAACCAAAAATGTTCAAAAAAAAGTTCAAACTTAAAATTTCTAAACTTCTAGGACTTCTTTACTGTATTACCTATTCTACCCCAGTTCCAAGACTTTAAGAATATCATAATAAATAGTTTATTTATTAAAAAAAATTTATTCTTCTAAAAATATTTTTAATTTATCAATTAGACAATAATAAGTTCATTATTGCAAAGATATGTAGCAATATGTAGCAATGATATGATAACATACAAGCTATGTAGTTGATACATAATATAATTTTTAGCCCCCTGGGAATTTTGGGAATGGTCCTTTTTTTTATTATTTTGCTTTGTGGGTGGGTCCTGCTGGCCTATTAGAATGTTACAACATAATTGCAATTGAAACAAACTGAGTACGCGCGTGAGGGGCAGAGCTGCCGACCGTGGCATGTGCGACTGAGGCAGCGACATTGCGCGCGCCTCAGTCTCTCGCTCTCCGCCGGAAGTGCTCTTCTCTCTGGATATGCTCCTCTCTCGTTTCTCTGGCCAGACTCCTCCTACAAAAGGAGGCGGAGCTATAGTTTCCACACATACACACGTACAGAGCAAAACATAAAGCGGCAACAATGTTGTACAAGTTGGCCAAAAGAAACAAGTTTCCAAGTCTGTCTGTGTGCGAGAGTGTCCTCAGGGCAGAAACACACACACACACTCACAAATACATATATAAAATTATATAGTAAGAGGGGGCAGTACCTACAACGTCTTCCTTTTGGCCTGGTCACAGTTGTTGGCAACTGTAGATGGCTAGAAGTTGCTGGCGTAGTGCTGTAGATGTTGCTGCTACCGTGTAGCTACTGGTGTTTTGCGCAGGGCCAATTTCTCGCATTTTAACTTTGTTTAAAGTGCGCCTATATACACACACTGACACACACACAGGTCCCCTGGGTGGCCACTTATAAAGTGTTTTTTCAGCGACCAAATATGCAAATTAGTTGAGCAGCACTGAAGCTGACAACTTCGTCTGCGGCTGCTGCTTCCAGCAACAACAAAAGCTGAAACATGTCCATTATGTCGACGGCTTGGCTGACTCTCTTCACGCTTGATATGATCACAGGAGGGGAGGGGTAGCTCCAGGGCAGGGGGCTGGGGCTGGGGCGAGGTGGGCTGGAGTACAAACAATACAAGGCGCGCACACAGTGGCTCACAACAATAACCACCAGCCAAGGCAACATGCGCAGCATGGCAACAACAATGGGAACGAAATCAACAAAAATCATAGCAAGAAATGGAAATCAATCAATCGAGATATGAAGAATAATGAATGCCCTATGGATATGAAAGAGGCAGCTAGGCTTAAGGTAATCAAACAAGGATTACTATAGAAGGATATCTTCTTCTTAACATCCCATCACACTTCAAAAGAATATTTTCAGAGGATCAGAGATTGAAAATTATATAACATTATATCATCATATAAATTATATTGTACCTTATATAATAGAACCTATATATAAGATATAATATATCTAATTATAACTATGTTTAAAAATTTAGGTTTATTTTACATTAATTGATAATTGTCTTCCCTATAAGCATAATATAATCATCATTAATAATCCTAAGAGTATCCCTAAGAGTATTCATCAATGGACCTAAATGCAAAACACTTTTTTGAAATATCAAGGAAACGTTGATCTTGGGACAGAATGGTGTGTCCCACAACTTGATGCATTGGCACATGTGTTGACTTGGGTGTAATAAGTAGCCGTTGGGCAGTCAGGCCTCTTCTCGAGGTGCTCGTCATGAGATGAGGAAAGTTGAAATCATTGCTACTTTACTTAACTCCGTTTTGACCGAGTGAGTGTGTGTATGTGAATGCCACATACTCGTGTATCTGTGGCTGCTCTTTTGATGAATCCGCCGGACGGGCAACTCAAGTGGCCAACTGCTTCTGGTTCAGAATGGCGGGGCCAGCGGCTACCCGAGGAGGGCAACAAAGGAAAAGTGCCTTAAAATGTTGACAAATATTTAACATGCATTGGCCGCAAAATTATTTGATCAAGACCACCGAAAAAATATACAAAGAAAGATCTTTTCTCCACCAAAAACAAACCTCAAACAGGGAACACTACGAAATATTGTACAAAATTAAAAATGAAACTTGAAGACATGCGGCTAATGATATTTCCTTGCGTCATTGCCTCATTCATTCATTTTTAAGGTGAATTGTTTGCTTATCGTTTCGGTGTTTTGATACCTGGTATACTGAATGAGAGATATAGGGGGGATTAATAGTATTTTTAAATTAAGTGATTATTGAGTAGGTATAAAGATATTGTATTAAGTAAAAACTGACTAATCTTTCACGGTTATCAGCCTCCTTTAACTCCTTAAAGTAGACTATATGTTTTCACAATGTAATCACAGGTAACTATTATTCGTTTCACTTGAGGTTCATTCCTTTGGTAGCTAGTTTGATTTTGGTTTCTTTTTGGTGCCGCGACCCCAAGCCAATATTTGAGCAGTCAACGGTGGCGGTGTCAGCCGATTGTCTCTAGTTCTGTAAGGTCTCGTTTGGGGGTCTTTTTGGGTTAACCATGTCCAAATACCAAAACAACAGTCCCTCCCCTGCGAACTGTCAGCGACAGTTGGATTTTCCGTGAACAATGCAGGCAGGCGACGGCGTCGGAGGCGGCGGCAACAGCGATTCCACTCCAAAATGGACAGGGTCGAAAAAAGTTAATTTAATTTCAAGTGGGTGCAACAATTGTCAAGCTCTCTCTCTGCGCTTATCCTTTTCAGCTGACTCGACAATAACAATCAGATGCCACACAAAGGCATACAAACACTCCCTCCCCCGCCCCTGCCCGGCCACAAATCCTTGTGTATCCTTGTGTATTTTGCATATTGTTTTACAAGACCGTTTTGGCTTTCTTAGTTGCAGGCCACCAGATTGCTTCTTCGACTTATCTTTGACGTAAAGAAAATCTCATTAAATAACTTCCTGCGCTTTCAAGTCCTATTCTGCCAGCATCCTGTGTCATCCTGCCTCGCATCTCCGCTCTCCTTCGCTCCCCAGCCTCTATAGCCGTCTCTTTCGCTTGGCAACAAGCTGAAACTTTGAACTCTCATGTATTCGGATTCGTTCAGCGAGGCATGAAATTACATTTTGCTTTTCTTGCTGCGGAAGTCATCTGCTTCTTCTTCGGCTTCTTCTTCTTCTGGGTCCTTCCATGGTAAAGAAAGCCAAAACACCAACCGGAAACTCATGGAAACGTGAAATTTTGTTAAAAGTTCAAGGAAACTTTGTGTTCTGCTCTCGTTTTCGCTAGTTGCTCGAATTGTTTTGTGTCATATGCAGATACCTCTGGATAAGTTTGAGTTTCATTCGAATATTTTTCTCAGAAGAAGAGTATTAGCCAATAACATTATGTATAACATAACATTATTATGTATTTTGCTATCATATGACACACGCCAAGGCCTTGCCAAAAAAAAACCTCGTATTTCAATCCGGAAACTCGAATTTCAAACAATTGCCGAGCTCACCGGGCCCACAATTTATAAAATATTGCCAAATCATTTGACACTGCCAGCATACCGATTATAGGATCGTTAACTGCCAATTTTCCCTGCCAATCCTTGTCTCGAACCCATTTCCCATTCTCATTTCAGTAATTCGAGCCTGGCCACAGCCCACCAACAATGACTTTGGCCATTGACACGCACTCGGGGTGTTAATATAATTTTTGAACTAACAGCCTCTCTATACACTCGACTATTTTGTATAATTTTTCTAATAACGTAACAAAAACATAACGACAGGGGAGCGAAACTGAGAACCACTGGAAGATGGTAATCATGACCATTGTTTTGGGGTACTCGCATAAACACTGTTTCCGATTCCGACCTACCCAACAGGATCTCTTTCGTTTTTTTACTTTGGTCCTGACAACCCTGACATATAACCCTCTGGTAGGACTTGCCTCCTTTGAATAATAATAGTTTTGAAGAGCCGTACGCCCCTTTCGAGGCAACTGTTATTAGTTGAAAGGGCGCGTGGTTCCCAGCAAACCATCAAGTTTTGAAAACTACTCACAGAAAAACATTTATATACACATATAGTGCTCGAAATCATCCCAATGGTAATGACAACTCTTATTTGCCTGGGGCAGTATTTAATTTTGGACTCGACAGCCAGCTGTGAATTTTATTTGATTAAATTAAACACGATTGCATGGGCTTGCATAATGGCCGCCGAACTGTCAGTTGGCCACTTGGGTTTTTTAATGGGTGAAAGCTAGGCAGCTAGCGATCTCTGTTATCAGCTATTATATAGTAGCTGTCTACACATATATAAGTAGGAAATCTGTTCCATTGGGGATTCTACATAGCTATTAAGGTGATAAGAAATCAAGTGCAATGTCACGGCGAATGAGCGATTTTATATAGAAGTATTAGGACTTTTTCGTATAATTTTGAGCTCTGATGAAAAAGTTATATGCTAACTTACCTGGTTTATCCAAAGCGCTTACCTATTTTTTGCTAAATAATTATTAGTTCTTAATACATTAGGATGGCGAAATGTTTACTATTACAAATGATGAATTAAAAGTATTATAATAAACTTTTGTAAATAGGAAATTTAGCGATTATTATCGGAAGAATCTATTCAATAAACAAGTTAATCAGCAAACAAGTTTTGCAAAGTAAATAGAGCCAAGCGAGAGCTCAATTGAAGCGATAGTCTGGGTTATAGACTCAGTCTCAGAATTATCAGTGAGCGGGAATGCAATAAAAATAATATATTCCACACCGTCCAGTGTCTTAGAGGCTTATCTCTGAACTTATGACATAGAAATTATCTCAAGAGAGCATAGAATCGAACGATTAACTATAAATCTAGCTAACTTAGCCGCCTCCACTTCAGTTTAATATTACAACTGAGTCGAGATCGTGCATCTATAAATTACAGTCGCTATGCTAAAGTTTCTGATCGTGGTTCTGGCCTTGTGCAGTGTGGTGTGTAAAAATTAAAATGCAAAAATAAAAATTAAAAATAGTTACTCTGTTTGAGTTTAAACATTGTTAGCTTAAGTTTAGGTAGAAAAATACTTAAGAGCTTCAAAAGTTTTTAAAAAATATATTCCTTAATGTATATGGAAAATATAAAAATCAAAGCTAATTATCATGACTTAAATATATACGATAGAATGAAAAGACTTGTTAATTCTTTTTTATAAAAAAAGAACAATATTTTTTTAATTTCGGTGTCTTATATAATGTTTTAAACGTACATGAATGAATGTGAATGTAATAAATGTGCCGGATGTGTAATCTTTCATTTCTAAAATATTCCCTTTGTGTATTATCTGAGATGTAGAAATACGACGTGTTTGTTAGTCAGTTCGTAGAAAAGATTAAAGGAATTTTTTGTATCTATTTAGCACGATTTCCTTGAAAACAATTTAGTTATCATCACTATTATACTACGTTTTTGTAACCAAAAGCATTAGGCTTTTAAGTTTAAACTTACGAATTTTACATGAAACAGAAAGGCTTAACTAAAATCAAAATATATCAACCCAATTTTATGTATTAAATATATGCATTTTATTATTTTTAGCTTAGGGTTTTCTAGATATAGTCCAGAGATTGAGATTTTGATAAATAAATGACTAATTTACCCTTAAACCCTTTTTTTAAACAGGCCTTTGCCGAGTGGCAGCCCAAGACTGGCGATGAAATCAAGAAAATCCGCGTAGAGTGCCTGAAGGAGAGTCCCCTGAGCAACGACCAGGTGGCCCAATTGAAGCAGCTGGTCTTCCCCGATGAGCCGGAGGTGCGCAAGTACTTGGAGTGCACGGCCACCAAGCTGGAGATATTCTGCACTGTCGAGGGCTACCACGCCGACCGCCTGGCCAAGCAGTTCAAAATGGATCTGACCGAGGAGGAGGCCCTGAAGATCGCCCAGGGCTGTGTCGACTCCAACCCCCAGCAGAGCCCCTCGGATGTGTGGGCTTTCCGTGGACATCAGTGCATGATGGCCAGCAAGATCGGTGACAAGGTGCGGGCCTTTGTTCGGTCCAAGCAGGAGGCCAAGGCTTAAGGTTAAGAGTTCTTTGTTGACGTAAAATAAAAATATTTTCGCGATCATTTGTGCGGGAATGCAACCATTCGAATCAGATAGTTTATTGATTTTCTTATTTTTTGGGAAAAGCAGGCAACAGGCAAAACCACAATACAAGTGCACCAAACTACTGACTACTGAGCGTGTGGATCTAAGGGAGATTATCAGTTTCCGGGCGATTCTCGACATCCTAGGCATCGCCACCCTCCGATATGGTCTTCATGGCTGCATTGATGTGCTCCACCAGGGGCAGGCTGCTGTCCAGCGCCGGGTTACGGTAGCCCTCCAGGAAGTAGCAGGTCTCGGTGCCTTCCGGATTGGGGAACTCCTTGGGCAGGCAGCCCGGTTCGCGGGGCTGCAGGTCGAAATCGAAGCCCTCGTGCTTTGTCAGCCAACTAAAATAGGGTTTGGAAAGGTATTATGGATGTTTCAGAGATCTATTGCAACTTACTCTTTAGTGGTTGGGCTAACATTGATTTTAAGAGCCTCGCTGCCCGACTCGAACTTGTTGGCTATGGTGACACTGTGCCCGAAGAGACAGTACCTGGGCATCTTTCTGCCCACCACTCCGGCCAGGACGGTGCCTGTGTGGAGGCCAATTCTCATTTTGATTTGCTCGCCGTCGTGGGTGATGTGCTTGGAGCAGGCATCGATCATCTTCAGGGCCATCCAGGCCACCTTGTGGGCATCGTAGATGGAGGCGCGGTGAAGTCCGCTAGCCACACAGTAGGCATCGCCAATGGTCTCCACCTTGTAGACGTCGAAGAAGTCACAGAACTCGTCAAAGTCCTTGTACAGGCCCTCGAGCATGCTGATCACCATGAAGGGCGTGGCCCGTGAACAGATGCTTGTGAATCCGACAATGTCGCTGAAGAGGATTGTCACATCCGGGTAGGTCTTCGCATCGATGGAGGAGCCTAGCCAGAGCTTCTCGGCGATCTCCGCCGGGAAGATCAAGTGCAGCAGGCTGACGTTCTTCTTTCGCTCCTTGGTTACCGCCGAGTTGGCCTCCTCTATGCTGCTCTTGAGTTTATCCATCCGGCGACGCAGCCCGTCCTGGGCACGAGCCTGCTCTCCCACCAAGATTACCTCCCTGGTGGCGTCGTGCAGGGGGATGTCCGAAATGAAAAGCCCATTGCAGGTGAGCCCGTCCAGCCCATCCAAGAAGGGTGAGCCCATAAACAGCAAGGAATTCGACTCCGGGCAATGGACCATCTGACCCTTAATCTCCAAGCCGATGGCCGGAAAATCGGTAACGCCCGGCGGACTGTTCAAGCCAATCAGGAAAGGGGTGTAAGTGCGGCGCACAATGTCCCGGAATTTCATGGTTAATCCTTTGGGCCTTTTGAAATCGAAGTAAGTGCTCGCCTGGCAGCCAAAGTCGGCCAAATAGGGCTTATACAGCTTGCTGAATCCCCGACCCAGTTGCACCAACTCCAGTTGCTCGTTCATGATGAAATGCCAGGGGAACATCTTACAGAAGCTCGACGAGTTCATTTGCAGGTCGGAGGCATTGCTCGAGTTGCTCCTCTGCACGGTTTCTGGAATGGTCTTGCTTACGAAAGCCGGACGCCCCATCAGCATGGTCTGGGAGCTATCCTTGACGAGCGAGAAGAGGTAACGATAGCGACGGGCATCACCTTCTACGGGTTCGATTTTGATGTTCACATCCACCTTGTACAGCATCCTGGTGAGGGCTTTCAATGAACCCAAGAGTAGCCAGGCAATGACAGGTCTCTCCGAGGTGAAGATCAGCTCACCCTCGCCGGCACAGACAAAGCCAGTGTCGGTAACATCGTCCTGTTTTATAATAGGTTAATTTATTAAGATGTTAAATCTTAAAAAATGTATAACACACCTCCTGTAACTTGAGCACATCGTAGACTCCATCGAGTGAGCCCAAAAACTCCTGAAGATCGGTTCCCAGACAACGAAAAGCCCTTTCAATGATTCCAGTGCAGCAACAGGTGATCAACTCCTCACCCAAAAGCACCAGAATCTCGCTGGCACTTGCCTCGTCCATTTTCAAAAGCAACTCCTGGATATCGGCCAGGTAATCGTAATTGGCGCAGCTCTTAAAGGTTTGGGGATCCAGTTTTCTGATGTGGGGTTTTGAATTTATCTTTAGTTTTTCAATAGTTTCTCACACTTACAATTTATGTATGTTGGGCCAGTTCTGCCGATACTTGGCCACCAAGGAAGTGACTGCAGTATTGAGATCCTCGTTCGAGGGAGCCGTCAGGAGCTGGATGGCCATCTGGAGGTGAGTGAGGGTCAGGGCATCGTCGGAGAGCTCCTCGTCCTCGAGTGCCCAGTGGGTGCCAGGGTCGGCGATGACCGAGGGCTGGCGTGTCAGCGAGTCCGCTCGCCTGAAGAAAGGACACGCCATATTGCGTGTTTGATGTGAGAGGGGTCTCTGTTCGATCTATTTTGGGGATAACATACAAAAGGTTATAAGCAGGCTCTTTAAACAATTCAATTAAGTGAAGGAAATCAATCACTAGGAAATTAAAGCTTTCACTTAATAAGATGTGATTGTAATGAGATTTAATTTGAGTTTTGTGGCATGATTACTGAAATAAGTGAATATTTTGTTATATAACTCTTGAAAAGATGACCTGGTTTTAACAAGTTACTTTACTAAACACTATATTTCCCCTGTTCAATACTCAATATCCTTATAGCCCTATAAAAGTCAATCAATCTAAATTGAATTCCGCATTTAGATTTATCTTTATTTAATGAGTTTTTCCTTGAAAATATTGTCAATGATGATTTGATGTGTATCGTGCATTTTCCGCCCAGGACTTTCCCGTTTTTTTTTCCCTTTGCTCAAGTTCAACGTGCACTTGTGTGAGTGGGTGGTTGGGTGGCTGGGCCGTATCTGCTGCGGGTACGCGAGCCACCCACTGGCCCACAAAGGGACATGCTCCTCTGCTTGTGTCTTCTCAGCTCGAGTGGCTTTTGTGTGTGTGTGTGTGAGTGGGGCTTTCCTCTGAGGTCAAGTGTATGCCAGTCGTTCTTGGCAAGGCGCTCACTCTTGCTTTCTGGCCGACAGCATTACCATAATTTTATTTTGCATAATTCATAAGAAGTGTACACAGTACACTTTTAGCCCTAAAGCGGCCGACCATCCATCCATCCTGGCCAGCTGCTGGTATTCCTCGATATGTGTCAGTGGTCAGCTTTAATTTTCACCACCCCCAGTGCCCCCCTCCTTTACAGGAGTGTGTATTTGCTTACAGGAAGCCTGGCCCTAGCCTGCCTGGCCCACCCCCCATGGATACACAATTTTCCAGCTCTGGGCCAAGTTTTTCCTGCTTGCTGCACCAGTAATTTTAATAATTTCCACAATATACTTTTAGGCAGCCACTTACCCGCGGGCCGAAGAAAAACTTGTAACAATTTTCACTGCACTTTTCCTTGCACACAGGCTTTACAAACCAAAAGTGGCCTGTGTGGAAATTTTTGTGGAAATTTTAACAGCTGAGCTGGATTTTCGCACGCAACTGAAAACAGAATGAACAGGAACTTTGGCCAAAAATAAGGCTAAAGTGTAAAGCTGGCGAAAAAGTTTTGAGCCGGAACAGAGCTTCGGGGCAAGCTTTGTCCGCCGAGCAAGTGAAAGTGTGCAGAGATTGTTGCATTGTTTTGAAAGAAGAAAGCGAACTGAGAGAGAAAAGCCAGAGAGAGGGTGGAAAGCAGAGCGCATGCTTCTACTTGATGCTGGAGCTTTTTCGGCGGTCATTTCTCCAAGTTCTCGATTGACCTGTTGCTTGAGAATCGCTCTCCCAAGGTACTGCTCTCTTCTGGGCTCTCTCCGTGATAATAACAAAGGTGGAAAATAATCAATCTGCCCTCCTGTATCTGTATCTGAGTATCTGCAGAGTATGCTGCATGTGCTGCACACTCGTGTCCGGCAAACGAATAAAAAACTTTTCACTCTCCAGCTCTCGACGGCAATCAAAACTTTTAGCGTTGTCCGGCCCAGTCCAGCGAATCGGACTAAAATTTCTACACTTTTACTTTGACGTTGGCCGCAAGCGAGAAACGTGTTCTTTTGGGTTTTCGGTTCGCTTCGATTCGGTTCTTTTTATTGCTTTTATTCGCTGAGGGGGCGAGTTTGTTTTTTTTCTTCTTTGATTATTTTTGAATCCGTGTGAAAGTGCAGCCTGGACTTGACGAACTTAAACTGCCGCTAATAGTTGCAATTAGCTAAACTCATAATCGCCGCAATGAGCGACTTTGGAAAATTTGTAAGTGCCAGTGTATGTTTAGATACGCTATGCATACAGTATCTAGATATGAAAACACAAGCCTCTAGCTTGAGTGTGCGTGCACTGCGGATGCTTTATCTAACCGCAGAAAGTGGGTCTCTATAAAAAGAATGCAGAGCTTCGTCCTTGACCTTGCACACTGCCATCCACATCCACAGACCATCTGCCGGAGAGCGCTCTCGGAGCTTCCGCACTGAAAGCGAAAGTTTAAGCCAATTATCCCTTGCCACGGTCTTCTTAAATGCACACCCCCTGTCCAAGCTTACCGCTCAAACATCCCCCTGGGGCCGAAAATGTTCGGCAGGGGGCAGCTAACCCGCAAACGCTTAATCTAATCACTTCGAAAACGGTTCCACTTTATTAATCGGGTCGGCCGACTGTGTATTTTGGACTCTTTACGGATCGATTAGACATAATCTCAACGATTATTTTTGGCCCAAGCAACTGGTTTTATAAATTATTTTAAATAAATAAATATTAGAAGATAATATACTATATATTTGTATATGTAATTTAAATATTGTATACATCTAATGAATTAAAGTTCAATCTAAGGTGCTACAATAGACTTAGGATTTTTTACTGATTCATTCAAGTTTTAAATTCCAAGATACAATTTCATTTAACAAAAACATGAACTCATTTGACTCATTCGTTTGATATTATCAATCATAAAACAACAAGCTGCTTTTAACTTAAAACACATGTTAATGGTTTTCGATAATTGTATAAACATGGCGAAATACTAATAAAAACATGTTTAACTTAATTAAAGGCTAAAACACATGGCCCAAAGCTGGTGCCTTTTCTCGTGACTCTTATTCTGTACTTCTCGCTGGTGCGGAAGGATCCCCAAGGAGAACTATGGACCACAGTGGTCAAATGTTTACCGATCGTGGCTCTGATGTTCTATATTGTGGCCAAGGGGTTTTCGCTCAAAAAAGGGTAAGATCATTAAATATTTAATTCTAATCTAAAATAACTTTCAAATTGAATTTTAGATACCGTCGCTCCCTTTGGATACTTCTAGGATTGATCTTCTCCTGCGGCGGTGATGCTCTGCTGAATATCAACCTTTTCCCCTTCGGCATGATATCCTTTGGGGTGGCCCACGTCTTCTATATTAGCGCTTTTGGTTGGAAACCAATCAAGTGGCTAATTGGATTGGTTCTCTATGTGGCCGTTACACTTTGTGAGTTATTACTAACTGAGGGAAATAATAATGTAAATTTTAAATAATTTTCCAATTTCAGTTGTATATTTTGTCCATAACAAACTGGATGAGATCCTCATAATTGGAGTGCCCATTTATTGTTACCTGATTACCACCATGTTGTGGCGATCTCTGGCCAGAGCTGTGGATGTCAAGAGCTTCTTGGCCATTTTTTGTGCCGTTGGAGCCATTCTTTTTGTGATTTCCGATGCTTTGATCGCAGTCACCATGTTTGTGGGCGTGCCCCTGCCCTGTGCCCGCCTCCAGATCATGATCACCTACTATGCCGCCCAGTTCGCCATTGCGCTAAGCACGGCGGACGAAGGACCCTCAAAGGACCAGACTCGTTCTTTTCGCAAGAAAATCAAGTAAAGCCAAAGACCTTCAATGCTCAGCAGTAGAAATCGCATAAATTACATGAACGCAACCACCAAAATTAGTACTTCCATAATGTCTAGGTTAATGCCAGTTATGTGTGTTTGTTTCCGCATCCAAGTAGACTAGTGTAATTCAAGATTTCTTATGTATATGTTGATGGATGCGGAGACGATTTTCTTAGAGTTTAGTAGATGTTTGTTGAATTAAAATAAACAAAAAATTATACCAAGTTATAGTTCAAAAAACGGAATTAGAGTAAATGATTGAGGGGATTGGGGTTTAATTTAAAAGTTAAATATAATTCCTCCTACAAAAAAACTTAAATATCTTAACTTTGCACATACTTTTCTAATTTTAGACATTTTAAATAAACTAAGTATGAAATATTGTTATTTTTCTATATTTTTTTTAAAGAATATTGTTATTCCATACAATAGTTTACCTGTGAAATTTAAGCAAACTATTTTTTAACTGATGTAAGAGCGCCACCTGCGAATTCTACATTCTACTTTGAATTCTACATATTAGAGATGGAAATATACTGCTGAAGTAATGACTCACGCGAACGCTGTGTCAGCGCTTCATGGTGTAGTAAAATAAGAATAATGTGACATGGCAAAGTTAAAAATAATTTTTTTAGTCATTAAAAATATATTTGACAACTATAACTTTAAAAAAATATGTAATCTTAGATATATTTAAATATTATGATGTTTTATAAAACCCTCTGGCATCCCTGTTATGCGGTATTTTTCAACACTGTGAGACGCCGGCTGAGGAATTTTTTCGGCGGTCAATTATAGCAATTTGTTTGGTTTATAGATAACTTATACTGCCTGAGTAGACAAAATGCGACCCCCAGAGTTCAAGCTAAACAACCCGCCAGAGGACCTCATCTCGGCGGTGAAATTTGGCCCCAAGTCCAACCAGTTCATGGCAGCGTCCTCCTGGGACGGAACTCTGCGCTTCTACGATGTGGCGGCAAATCAGATGCGACAGAAATTCCTGCAGGATGCACCGATATTGGACTGCGCCTTTATGGTGAGTACTTAACCATACTTATAAAGAACTCCACTAATTGCCTGACTTGTAGGACATTGTTCACGTGGTCAGCGGCTCCCTGGATAACCAGCTCCGCCTGTTCGATGTGAACACCCAAACGGACAGCATTGTGGGTGCCCACGAGGAGCCCATCAGGTGCGTCGAGCACGCTGAATACGTCAACGGCATTCTCACCGGCAGCTGGGACCGAAATGTTAAGCTGTGGGATATGCGCGAGAAACGCTGCGTCGGCACCTACGAGCAGAACAATGGAAAAGTGTACTCCATGTCTGTGATCGACGAGAAGATCGTGGTGGCTACCTCCGATCGCAAGGTTCTTATTTGGGATCTGCGCAAGATGGACAGCTACATAATGAAGCGAGAATCCTCGCTCAAGTACCAGACCCGCTGTATTCGGTTGTTCCCCAACAAAGAGGGCTACGTAATGTCCTCCATCGAGGGACGAGTGGCCGTGGAGTACCTGGACCATGATCCCGAAGTGCAGCGCCGCAAGTTCGCCTTCAAGTGCCACCGGAATAGGGATCAAAACATTGAGCAAATTTTCCCGGTCAATGCCCTGAGCTTCCACAATGTTTACCAGACATTCGCCACCGGTGGCTCCGATGGCATTGTAAACATCTGGGATGGCTTTAACAAGAAGCGCCTGTGCCAGTTCCACGAGTACGACACATCGATTTCCACACTCAATTTCAGCTCGGATGGTAGCGCCTTGGCCATCGGCTGCTCCTATTTGGACCAACTGCCAGAGACACCAACCTCCGTGCCACATCCGGCTATTTATATACGCTACCCCACAGATCAGGAAACCAAGCAGAAATAGTGTGCCTCTTGATTACGGGAGAAAGCTCTCCTATTTAATTGTTTATTTTCGGACAGATTAAATATATGTGTATTGATATAAGCTACTTGATCCGCTTCATGCATTTTTCATATCTACTTTTGAGCAGGGCCCACAGTATCTTTGCCAAAAGGACGCCAACTTCCACGAAACTCAATGCAGAGGCTCCCATGTACAGGCTGATAATGCCGCCAAAGTTGGCCAACAAATCGAGGTCCGTGTACTTGAGTTTGGTGATGATTTTGGTCATAACACGCTGGCCATAATATACCTGAGCTCTAATCAGACTGTCGGTTGAATTTTTGGGACTTGAAAGTGAAAGGGAGAATGTCTATATGAAAGAAGTATTCTAGTTTCCAACTTACTAATTTAACTTTCGCACGTTGAGAGTCATTTGGTATTGCCGAGAATTGCAGTTGTCGGGACAGTCGCAGAAATGACCCCGACTGGAGTCTTTGATATATTTGTCCTGGTCTCGGGTCTTTGAATAGCTAAAGATGTCTGAATTGGCAGCCAAGCATTGCCCATCAGTCACTGCACATTCCCTAGTGCCACCTGAAAGAAAATCCATGGATTGAGATATGAAAATTAGAATAAAACAGCTTTCTATAATCTATAATCACCAATTGGAGGAAGAAACACCGGCGCGGAGCAATTGCAGGTGTTGAGCACCACATGATGAAGGCATACTGCCAAGCAATTTTCTCGATTGTAGGGTAGACTGGTGTTTCTGTACAATGGATTCTTTTCGCTCTAGAAATAAACTTTGAAACTCAATATTTGTTTTGGAATAGCGTACTTTAACTGACATCGAAGTAGCAACGCCTTTTAATGGGACTCATGAAGAGCGTGTTTGTGGAGGTTTCAACCACCCTCGGATGCACTGCCACAAAGTTCTCGGTGTGCGGATACAGGTGGTACATCATCTTGTTGGACCACTGCCTGGGCTGTTTGATCATCAACTGAAAACCAAAACTATGTACTATGTAATTTTAAAATAAATATAATCCAGCTTACATTCATTCCGAAAGGAATATGTGTGCCTTCCCGCACAAACGCATAGCTCACGTTGAGGGTAAACTTAAGACCCGATTCCTCGCCGGCAGTACTTAGTCTGTAGGGATAGAATTTGTTGGTCAACTGTTTCTTTTGCGAGTGCTCGGAGATCAGGGAGTTGAACACCAGGCACTGGCCCTTCTCCGTTTGTTCGGGGACGAACAGCTTGCAGCAGTCGTAGGAAGTTTCATCGAATTCGCAGGAATCTTTCACAAAAAGCTCATCGCATCTGTAGGCCAGATAGTTGATCAACTTCATCATGGACATGGATCCTAGCTCAGTCAGATTTCTCTTGGAAAGGACACTAGCACTTTTAAAATTTTCAAACGAAGTCAGTTCCAGGACGTGTAGCAGTTGGCGAAATGATTCCCGAAGATCCTCGTCTGGATTTCGGGGCAGGAAACGCTTTATAGCACTCTCAGCTCGATCCCAGTTGACATGACTCCAAGGACACACGGCCACCGCAGGAAATTCGATGTGATACACAGGCTGTTGGGTAGTTTCGATCAAGCTAACCAGAACTTGTTCGTCGAGACGGGCCCTCAGAACGGAGTACATGCTCAAGCCTCCTATGGTGGCTCCCAGGACAATCGCTAGCCACAAGGACTTCTGCCAGAGGTGTCGCTCTTCGAACACATACAACATTCCATGGATAGTGGAATGTTTCAGGGATTGTCGTAATCTCTCCAGGCACTTATTAGTCGGCGGTCTCTGCTTGAAACGCAGCAAGCCCTGACCACGACCAGGTCGCGGTGCCACAAGTTCTCTGGTGTAGAGCAACATCACAATTGAGCTACTTTGAATGGAATTGGGGTTCAAAAGGAGCAACTAAAGTAAGTAACTTGTCGAAAAGTCAAGGTGTTTATTAACTTAATTAATGCTTATTAGTAACTACGGCTAATCAACCCTCTAGGCCTTGGGGGCCAGGCTCTTCTTGATCTGCTCCAGGTTGTTCTTCAGCAGGCAAGTGGCTCCGCGGTAGGCCCACTCGCAGGCGTTGGAGCCCTGCTCGTTCTTGTCAACGCACTGGGCAAGGCTCTCGTGGGCAACGCTGTCATGGTCGGCGTGAGTGCCCACCAGCTGCTGGTGAACGTTCTCCACGTTGAAACCGTTCTCCACATCAAACAGGCCCCACTTGGTGAAGACGCACTTGAGATAGCACTGGGTCTTGGGGTCGTTGGGGTACTCCCACTTGGTGAACTTCTCAACAAGATCCGCAGGGACAGCCAGTTCCTTGACGCACTCCTCCCGGTAGGCCAGCATGTCGTGGCGGTTCTTGACCACGTAATCAGCCGAGGCCTATCACAGCAGGGTAGAAATAAATTAATATTTTTAGGTCAAATCCATAGGACTATCAGCCAGGGTTCAACTGGGCCAAGCACTCACCAGGCTAATCAGCACACAGATGGCGACAAAGACCTTCATTTTAGGGCTATCTTTCCGACTGCTTTCTCCGACGATCGAGCGAAGACTGTGTCTGCCCCTTGCCAGACACCTGCTATTTATACCCCTACGCTGGGACAGATCCGGGGAGTGGACTTGGTACCTGCTGGTCGATCTATAAGGGAGGCACCACAACGTGAGATTATGCTCCTCTGTTGGGATTATTTATGCTGCCGATTCTTTTGTGATCTCGGCATTCAATTTCAAGAGCTGTGATGTGAGTGCCCAAGTGGACAACAATGGATTTGTTGATGCCATCCGATAACCCAAAGTTCGTCGCAGCTGTTGATACGATCACCCCACTCCCCTTTAATCTCTGCCAAATTATCACCCTAATCTGTTTCATTTTTGCAAATAAAAATAATTAAATTATAATCAATATTTGAAACATTGTTGGCAAACAAAGTTGAACCACTGATCTATTAAATATACAGTTTAAGTTAATTTTATTTTATAATTGAGAAAAAAGCTTGAGTATAAATTATATTATTCCTTCTATTTCAGAATTTACTTATAAAGATTACAGGAATATATTAAAAATCGTATTAAAAGCTTGTACAATATACAAACAGATTAATTAGAATATTTCCTTTTTCTCAATCACTGCTCCCCATTTTTTCCAGTGCAGTTGAACAAACCTTATGGATTCTAATATGTGAACACTAAACCTTCCGATAACCTATAATTTTATTGTGTCTGGTTGGGGGCTGCACTTGAAAATTTTCCACTGCCTCAGTAGCAGGTAGTTCAACTAAAGACAATTTTCTAAATGCGTTTTTGTTCTGGATTTATTTCTGTGTTTGTGTGAGAAGAGAGTGTTGTTTTTTTTAAATTTGTATATTATTACAGGTAAGGAAACGTGAGAAATCAGGTGCTGGCTGGATGGAAGATCGAAAGATTGGAGAGCAGAGCCACATCAGTTGGGCTGGGAGAGTCGACAGCAAGCGAAGCGATCCAGAAAGGCATTGACAAAGCCCAGAACAGAAACACCCATAATCAGACCTGCTATTCCTCCATAGGAAACTGAGCATAAAAAACCAAAGGTTACAATCGAAATAAAAAATCGGAATATGGACCTACCCATGAGATCAATGAGGGTGAATCGCAGCATGGAGCGGTAAGAGAAAAGGGTCTCCTCCTGAAAATACACATCTATTTCGATTTCCGTCGAGTGACTGGTGAAGGTGCTCAGTTTCTCGGTATAAGTAGAGGTATGGAACTGGGTGTGATCGCATAGGGGAAAGCATCCGCAGTCCACGGTGGTAAACTTGTTATCCCTGGACTCTTCGATTATGTTGCTCATGGAAAATAAAGAAACTAATTATTATTTTTTAGACTAAATGGTTAATATTGTATCTTTTCGTAAGCTCACGTTTGTGATTGTCAATACAAGCCAGATCTGGCAGGTTACAAGGATGGGTTTCCTCCCTTTTTCCAATTTCGGTAATATTCTCACCATTTGCAGCTATAGCAGAAGGTAGCACGCAGCGACACTTCTCCAAAAGGTACGTCAAGTGACATTTGTAGATGCAGTCCGAACGATTTTGTTTGTCTTCGTCCTATAAAAAGATATTTATATGTAGTATCTTTTGATTTAAAAATGTTACATTTTATTTACTATAAAATGACAACGACGCATTGCCACCGGTCGCGCTTTAACATCCACTTCGGCTGTAAAACGCAGAGGTTCTACTGGCACTACAATACGATCTTCGGAGGAGTAGTCTATTTTCATGCCCAGATATTCTGAGGGTTCATGAATAATTACCTGAAAAAAGAAGTACACGTTTAGCTTATACAAGTTAACTATAATAAACTATAAGTTACTTACCCCCACCGACTTTAGGTTAAATAATTGTTGTTTCCGATTAATTTTCACATTCAAGCCACTTAAAGATCCCGAGAAGGCCACCGACCAGGGCCACGTTTTATCAGCATTTTGAACTCTTACCGAGTTAAAGACATAGGCATATCCTTGAAAGCTCTTTGTGGATCGAAACAGATCGCAGCAATTCATTGGCTTTCGCCTCCAACTGCATTCGGTAAAAAACTGAGCACAGTTTATCTGCCAAGAGTTTGAAAAACCCCAACCATAAGGATCCAAGCCCTGGAATTCTCTTGACTCTGTGATGTTTTTGTCGGGGATTTTAGACGAATTTTCTGTTCTCCAAATAACTGATTGTAAATAATTGTAGGCTTTGATGAAGTTTTGAGACTTTTCCGTATCTCCATTGCTGGCTATATGAACGGGCATAATGGTTACGGCTGGAAAATTGATCTCGGAAACATGCATGTCGGTTCTTTCTATAGTCGTCTGTACCCAAAAGTAGAAATAGCGCTCCGACGACAGAATACACACATAGGCAGTGGATATGGCTAACACGACTTTAATGGGAATGCGAGAGTACCTTGAGGGGAATAATATATTTTATTAAAATATTATTTTTATTTTAGTGTCAGGGATAATTTACCTCCTGGCTGTAGCCCAACAACTTTCCTCTTTTTTATTCTTTTCCAGTGGCTCATCATCATTACTGTCGAAGGACACTCCATGCTTGCACACAACTTCGCCCATTTCGCTCAACAATTGGACTGCCGAAGCTGGGAAATTATGGCTAATTGGCAGGTCGACTGGCTAATCAGTGAGTGCGACACCCACTTTTGTCACCAAACTTATCAATAACCGGAAACATAACTACTCAATTACAAAGCTCGGGCCGGTAATGGATAGGCTATCGGATAAAAAATGTCTCCGCCTCAATTACAAGTCCAACTATCTGTTCGGATTACAGCCATAAAAGGGTTCGTCTGGCTAGGGAGCAGAGCCCAGTGATTGAGTGACTCGCCGCCAGAATGGCTAAAAGTGAAAAGACCCTGTTGGCAGGAAGTCCCAGCAAAGGATTTGGTGTTTTGGCAAAGGAATACTTTCGAATGTACTGCGAAAAGACAAATATACACTGTATTCGCTATCTTTATGATCCCCAGTTGCACAACGTGGAGAAGTGAGAGAATATTGTCGCTATAATCCTTAAAAATAACTAACAAATTTGTTGAATATTCGACAGACTTATTTGGTGTGTCCTGCTCATCATCAGCATTGCCCTGTGCTGGTTCTTTTACTTGATGCTCTCGGAACGCTTTGTGTCCCAGAAACTACAGACAGTTGTCCATGATCCGCAATATCCTGTGTTCCTGGTCGAGTTTCCTGCCGTAGGGATTTGCACGGACAACCGAGTCAACTGGAGTCGTCTGGAGGCGGCAAAAAATCAATTTCTGCCAGCCAATTCCAGCACGGAGATGGTCGAGAGTTTCACCGTGCTGGTAAGCAGATTAGAGACCCTTCGGTTCGGTGACTTTGTTACCAGTTTGTCCCAATTGGAAGATGATAACCTGGAGGCAGTGTCGTTCGTGAATTTAACCTCTTTGGCCTATTTCATGACCCTCAGTTGCGAGGATATTTTGGTTAAAAACTCCTGTCGTTGGCGAAACTCACTTTTCGATTGCTGCGAATATTTTGTTATGGAGAAAACCGAGTACGGGTTTTGTTTGATATTCAATTCCGACATATCCCCACGATCTAAGGAAATTAAGAAAAAAGAGGGAGTCAACTTCTATCCCCGGCATAATGCCAAGGCAGGTCAGAGTACTGGATTGAATTTCGATTTGGTGCTAAATGAGAGCTTTAAAAGGCCCAATTCGGAGGCCAACGATAACGTCTATGTAAGGATAACACCTTCTAAAGTAAATTCAAAAAGAAATAATCATGTATTCTTAATAGATAATGATCAAGAAACCGGATCAACTTAATAATGTAATCTATTCCATGACTCAAAACACTGAGACCTATGTAACAGTACGACCGGACTTGACTTGGACGGATGACAGCACTCGCAGTATCCCGCCGGAGCGCAGAAATTGTCTCTTCGCTGAGGAGCAGTCGGAGCTGGATTCCCACGATTCGGCCAAAAGATTTGGAAAACCTTTTCAGCTCACAAACTGCTTGAATCGGTGCCACGAATCCTACCTGGTTCAGCTGTGCAACTGCTCCCTTCCCATATTCTTTCTTTACAATCACAGGGGTTCGTTTCAGATACACTCAAAGAAAATAGGGATTATAATAGTTTTCTAATATCTGTTTTTTTCAGTCAAAGAATGTGACTCGGTTAGCTTGCGTTGCCTGGCTCGGCATAATGGTAGGAATTATTTTTCGAAATACATTCATTCAATATCCGCTCTCTTTACAAGATATTTTCAGTTACGACAAACGCAGAGACGAGGATGCCCTGTTCAGCGCCACGAAACCTGGAATGACCTGTTCCTGTTTGGTGAACTGCTACCTGCTCGAATACTACACAGCCACAACCACGCTGCCTTTGTCTGACCGTAAAATGTAGATTGAAATTAAATCAGTCTTTGGTTAAAAAAAAAAACGAATTCCTTTCTTTACAGTCCCAAGAATCCGCAACAGAAACTCTTCAAGGTGGATGTACACTACCAGGTGGAAACAACTCCTTTGTACCGAACTAGTCTGGAGTTTACCATTATTGATTTGATAGGTACTGCCTTATGTTATAGATAGTTAAATATATATACTTATTAAATTTTTAACAGCAAATCTGGGAGGGATCTTTGGCCTCTGCCTAGGTGCTTCCATGGTCAGTGCCTTTGAACTAATTTATTATTTAACCGTGGGTCTGGTCATGCATCTCTACGACAACCACTACTATGGAGTTTTAAATAATCAACTCAAAATGCAATGGCATTCGTTCAAAAGATACCTTAAAAACGAAGTCGGTAATTTGGCCGATAATCCTGGGAACCAAAAGGACAAACTGAGGCATCCTTTTAACGATAGAAAGAATGCTTGGTAACTCATATGATTGATATTTATTTATTGATATTATACATATTATACTCTCTTTACTAATATCTGTATTTAATTGGTGTAATTTTTCTTGGGCCCAACTGAATATTAATGATAGGAGTGTGGGTTTGAGATTGGTTCAAAGTATCATCCAATTTTCTATCGCCATGCAAGTACAAAAATAACCCAATCGTAAAGTAATAAACTAATTCAAAAGCACTTAGAAGAGAGGCTCCCAAAAACAAACCAATTATGCCTCCAAAACTAGCTGAAATTAGGCAAAAATATATTTAATTCTCAGGATTTAAAATTACTTGAACTAACCCAAAAGTTCCACAAAAGTGAAACGCATGGTAGTTTGATATTGAATAAACCAACCAGATTGATAGAAAATTTCAACTCGCATTGTTCCCACATCGGTATCAGTGTCATTGTTACTGAAAAATATGTTATTTATAATTAGTGATACTATATTTAAAGTGATAAGCCATTTACTCCATTGGAGTGCTGGTGAAAACACGATCAAAAATTAGTTGTTTACAACTGGTGAAGCAGTCACAGATCATGCTTTCTTCGTAAAGATGAGCCACATAGTCCTTCTCCTCTGGATGTCTTTCAGTACTGAAGACAACTAGGATATTAATGTGAAATATTTTTTTAGCTTTATTTTAATGCATAAATTCGAGAAATAAAACCTACGTCTATTATCATAGAGACACTTAAAATCCGAAGCTTTGCAGACAGTAAAGTTATCTGGAAAAATATTGAATTAATAATTAAAATTGAATTAAAATTATGTTTTGTTTACCTTTATCAGTGACAGGAAAGAATATAGATGGATTACATTTGCACAAATTAACGACATTCTCCTGATGGCACTTGCTGCGGCAGTTTCCCATCCAATACTCAAAGCCCGGGAGGGTTTTATAGGCAGGATGATCGATTTCGTCCGGAAAAATGCATCGCCTTACTTCTGGCGTAACTGCACGGGTCCGTTCGTCAGTATCTGTAAGGCGAGGCGCAATACTGACACGGGAATGCGCCTCATGTGGCACGAGGCGCACCACATCGCTCCACTGTTGCGGCTGCTTAATCATCAAGTATACGCCACGTCGACCGCGGGTAATTAGGGATCTATTGAGTCGCAGGAAAACATCCAATCCAGACCCCTCGCCATATTGGGGGGTGCTCAAGGGATAATACTTATTGTCTTTCTGTTTCAAGATAAGCTTTAAAATCAGAAATAATATTTAAATAAGATGTAAGAAACTCACCGCCTTTCTCCTAGACTCTGGACTTATCTCCCCATTAAATACGTAACACAGCCCCGACTCCGTAAACTGCAGCTCGAAATATTCGCAACAGTTTATGGGATTACCTCTCCATCGACACGAGAAGATTAAATGTTCGCATTTAACCTGAATATATTTAAAGACTTCAGCCAAATCCAATCCGTTCAGCAAGTGAAGGTCAGCAGTCAGGGTTTCGTTGGAAAAGAATCTTGACATTTCACCCAAGCGGCTTAAGTGCGGATCGGATGCAGCATAAAAGAATTTAATGAAGAGGTCCTTTTGAATGTCGGATACATTGGGCCCCAGGAAGTGGGAAGTCGCTTCGTTCTCCAAAACAATCCAGTTCATTCTGTTTCTCGGACAAAGGCCAATCGATGGAAAAGGAACGCGGAAAATCGGATGCATGGTGTTCCGGATGGTAGTTTGAATTCTTATCGATTGGTACAAGTTATTCAGATCCACATAGACCACAATGGCACCAATGCTGGTGGTTATGAGAATCAGAAGCCAAATGATTCTATTAGAAAGTATATTAAGCTCTTAAGTGGGTAACTAGCTCTTTTCTCACCTCTCGAAATGCTTCATTTTGGGATCAGCCAAATATCTTATGCCATGAACGGAGGATATCATAGCATATTCCTTTAAATATGGCCACAGAAGCCCTATTTTATGTCTTAGACCTCTAACTTTAGCCACAGGCTGTGGCTTGGTCACATCCAATTTTACGCCATAGTTTCCATAAATTGGCCGCCTCGGCCTGGGAAACTCCTTAGGATAAATCATCACTTGACTGACTTGGGATAAAAATATCTTAGTTGTGATTCCCGCGGCGGTTGTTAACATATTAAGAATTCAAATTAAATTTTGGCGTCGAAGAAAAGTCTTTGCCGCATTGAACTCAATCAAAAAGCAATTATTCGAAGTGGTCAGAGGGGTGGCAGGCCAGAGGGTAACCAGTCTGCGAGTGGTGCTCTTACCCAAGCAAAGCTTAAATCACGCACACAATTAACACTTGAATGCGGGGGAGTGGGGGTGGCAGGACTAAAAGTGGACAAGGACGAGCAACTTGTTTACTCAACTCAATTCAGGCGAAAGACAGTGGTTACTGCAGAACATTTTTTGATGGTTTTGAAATATTAAAGACTAAAAATAATAAAGTCCAACCTTATTAAATAGTCTCTTTATTTAAGCATTGTTCCAATTATAAGTCTATGAATTTTTCCGGGTATAGTTTAAGAAATATCACCCACCGTCCAGAGACTGGGGGTGAGCGGAAGTCAGCTGTCCATTGGCAGCGTAATCCTCCGCTGACCCGACTGTTTGTTCGTTCATTAAACGGACCTCCTAAGAGCCAAGGAGGAGTCTGCGTTACTTTTTATTGAGTGCTGGTCAAAAGCCATTGGAGGGGGGTATGGGTAGAGTGCTGGGGATGTCGGGCAAATGTCGGACATTCTTGTCCCACTCAGTCTGTTTGTCTGTCACCCCAATTGTTTTGTGTAAACAACTGAAAATATTTTCGATTTATCATTGCGTGCATTCCACGTCCTTGTCAAATGTCTTCTTCGATTGCCGGACGGCCATCGGGATCTTTGTGGATTGGTAGCGTGATTTATTTGTCCGCCAAACTATGCCACAACTTTTGGATTTGATTTTCTCGAACTCAAGGAATTAAAAGCTGGGGATTGAAGTCAACTTAGGAGGGAATCCGCTCCTGATCACAAAAACGGGCGGGACACTCACAGACATGTGTAAGCCTGCTAATCCCAGCATTATGGACAACCCGGTTGGTTGCCAATTAGCGTTGTGTCAATCAAACATGGTTTGCCACGCTCTGCCGGGACATTGAATGCCAATTGATTTGCGCGATGGCTCACAATTTTTGGCAAATGGTCGCGGGCTAAAAGTGGTTTTGAAAACCGCACCGGGCTAAATGGCAATTTCGAAAATTTTCCGCCTGATTGATGGCTATTAATCTAGGTATATCGTTCGTATAATTGACAGTTGAATGAGTCATTTGCAGGATACCGAGGTTCATGTTTCAGAAAATTACCCACAATTGAGATAACACAAAGGTATCCAAATAAATAGAATCCAATTCATTTATTTAAATAATTTTGTTCTTCAACCTCGCTTTAACAGAAGTCAAGCTTATGTTAATGACCCTTTTTTAATTTCGTTGAAGAGCATTGCGCCCAAAGCGTTTATCCTGAAAACTGATTCCTTACACCATCAATTTGATCCCTGAGAAAACTGTAAAGGCTTCGATTCACAGGATTAAAGCCCCTTCGGCTGCGAAGTGTAACTTCCATCCGTCTTCATTATGCACAGTTGCCGGGAAACACTCCCCGAGTGAAATCTTCTGATGAGTAGTTATAAATAAAATTTCCTCAAAATATACACGCACGCACACATGACATAAAATCGACTCCGGCCAGACGTTAATGACTTCCGCTTTCCCTCGGAAACTTTCAGTTTTACTTTCACTTTAACTTGGTATCCTGGCGCGTGTGCAACAATTTCGTTTCATCATCATCCTCGTCGCTGGGTTCAAGTTCATGTGGCCTATTAAGCACAGACAGTATTAATGGTCAGTGGTGTGCATAATGGGGGCTTTAAATTTTGTATGGCATTCTAAAATAGACATATTATTACCTTTAAAATAAAACATTCAAATATTTTCCATAAAAAAAGAAACCCTATAGATATAATAAGAAAGGCTGAGTGATTTCCAGGAATCCTTTCCTGCGAGTGTCCTGTCTACGCCACTGCATCACCGCATCCTCGAGAAGAAAGTCAGGGCAAGCGAAAAAGGAAAGGACCGGCAATCCCGAATCAGACTCGTAGAACGAGTTTTGTTGCCCACCCGTTCAAAATTCAATCTCACTTTTATGAGGCAACAGAAACGTGACAAGCCGCCGACTGTCACCGTCGCCGTCACCCAGGAGTGACAGGATCAAGCAGCCAGGGAAAGGGGTAGGGTAGGACATTCTCCCTGAATGTTGCCAACTGCCAGTTAGACTGTCAAGTGTCTGGCAGAATGCCATTTAAATATGCAAATTCGGTTTAAAACGAACTTTAACTCGTTCGGTGCCGCGCTAATTTGCATGTTTCGCACCGCGGCATTGTCTTCAATTCGGGGCTTGGTGTCTTCTAACTGCTTCGTAATTGCGTTTATATTTTGATGGCTAAATCCTGCCGAAACCAAGCCAAGTCAAGCCGAGCCGTGCTCCAGAAAATTCTAGGCTCCATCACTTCCGCTCGCCGGAGCGAAAGACTCAAAGCTGCCATAAACAAGCCGAGTAATGCGTGTTAATTATTTAATAATATTAAAGGATTACAAGCCATGAACCCGAACCGCCATTTGCCATTTTGCCTGATTGATGAGGCCAACATTTAAGCCACTGCCTATCCCCCTTCCCACCATTTTGCTACGATTTTGAACAAGTATTTGCCATTGATGGGGCGCCTGTCAAACGGCCAAGGCTGTTGACTTGCTTGAGCCCCGGGAAAGGTGTTTTGTTTTATATCCATAGAGGGAAGAGTCGAGGATAGGGACCCGTAAAAGGACTACGAGTCAGTAGATATTCTCTGCCACCCGCAACGCTTGTCGCTTGCAAGTAATTTGAATAATTTTCTGAAGAAGTGCAAAATTTGCATATGAAATCTGCAATCTCGCATGCGGCAAGGCGGCGGGGGGACAAGAGTTTTTCCACACATTTGCAGCGGCAGCTGCATTGACTCAGACGCATTCAGGCAGCAGGAAGTTGGCACTGCTCTTGATTCTGGTCCTTCGAAGCAGTTAAAAAAATGGTCAGAACACTGCAGCTTACTAAAATATGAAGTTTAAGATGAGGGTCCAAATAGGGTTATATGAGTTAAAGTACCCGAAAAAAGAGTCTACCAGGCCACTTGAATTGGCAGCCCTGGAAGGTCAACATTTTTCTCAGTGAACCAGTTATCCTGCGGGGTCGACGGGTGGCTGGGCGAGATGCTTTTAACTTGTCTATGCAAATGCAAATGTTTGTACGCAATCGAGGAATAAACAAATGTGCTCCCAGTGTGTGTGTGGAAAGTGTGTTTGTGCGTTTGCCCTTGTCGAGCTGTTCGCTTTTCGAAAAAAGTTTGCTTTTGCGAAACCCAATGTGAGTTATGGGCGGAAGAAAATTAAGAAAACTTCATATAATTGATGTCATGCATTTTTAATCTCATTCCAGCCGGCTTTCCATTTGCATTTTCCTATTTTGGTTTCATCTTGGAATTTCTTCTACTTTCGTTACGGTTCGGTTCGCTTGACGATCTCCAAAACTAAATGTGGTATATATTTGCGTATATATTAGAATTCTTTAATAGAGAATGATAGCACTTAAGCTCTCAATTAAAACATTTTGCTGGGGTGGTTATACTGATTTCGTACAACTGCTGTTCACATATGTAAATATTATGGCTTTCCTCGCCATTTTAATTACTTCTCGTAGACGGAATTCCTTAATTTGGTGCTCTTCACACATCCTGCATGTGAAGAAAATAATAAAAACGGTCTTTACACATGCAAAATGCAATAAATGAGAGGAGAATGCACTGTGCCAAGCATCAAGTAGCGAAAGGATGCCAGGACACCCCAAAGCTTGTAGAAATTCGACCAAGCCCCACAAGTGTGTCAGTGTGTGTCAGGGGAGCTCGCACAATTTAAGCTCAGAGTATTTAATTTGAAAGTTTGCTTAACAACTTTTTAAATACCTAATGTGTGAAACTGCTGCACAAGTATTTTGTGTGCTACATTTTTCCCTTGGAATTTTTGTGTCAAAAATTACAAAGGATGAGGAAAAAAATGTATCAAATAGCATACAAAATTGATGAATTAGCTGAGGAATGTTTAATATTTATTGCACAGTGACAAAAAATAGAGTTTATTATTTTCTATTTATATTTTAGACATGCATTTTTAATATAAAATAATTATTTTCTGCCTCAAGAGGCACAAAGCTGTTAAGAAGTTAGAAAGTTAATTTTTACAACAAACCAATTTTCATTCTGAAACGCTCCTGACTGGAACTGTTCTACATCTCAAAGAATGCTGGCCATATTACAGTCTGGCGCCTGCGTGAAAGTGGCTAAGAATTTTGGCGCCAAGCGAACAGCTGAGCAAAAGCCGGGCTCCGGCTCGCAACGAAAGCAAAATGTATTGCCGAACGTGATGCCCACAAAAGTGTGCTACACTCTGGCTAGTTGCAACAAATGTCCGTGCGGATGTGTGGCTGTATGTGTGTGGGTGGGTTAGTACTGTGAAGCTGCTGCTGCTGCTGCCGTACAAGCTGTCAATGGTAGATTCTTGCACACAGAGCTGCCATCATCGTCCTCGGGTGCCGTTCCTTCCAGCTCGTCAGTCCACTCAGCGCTGAACGAAGTCCTTTGCCGAACGCGCTCGTCACTCCAGTGCTGTGAGCCTTCGTGGCAGGTCCTGGTCGCGTGTGTTCTGCTCAGCTTTGTACTTTTCGGTCCTCGGAGTCTTCAAGTGGCGCTTTGGTCGCGTTGGTCTTGTCTCGCGAATTGCCAAAATCGAATTGTTTGTGAATGAATTTCGCGACTCCATTGAATCAGTGAATGAATGAACAACAATTTTTAATAAAAGAAAAACAAAAGTGAATTAATAAATGGTACAAAACAGAACCCCTATTAAAAATTAAAGATTTTTTTATGAGACTTAAATATTAAAAATAATAAACATGGTTTCGTACGATTTGGAAACTCGGTGTAATTTGGACATTATTTAGAAAAGAAAAACGAATTATTCATTATAAACATTTTAATATTTGTTTGTTGATTAAACTTTAAATTGTTCTTAATACTAAACTAAATATAATTTTTAAAATCATAATAATCATCAAATTTATTTTTAAATTTTTTTTCTACATAAAATGATATGTAAATTTTGTTAAATTTGAAACACAGTATCATTTTCATTTAATCTTTTTTTTTTTTTGTAAAATTACCTATAAAAAAAATTTGTTTTATAAAAATACTTTTAAATTTTTGTCGCCCAATTTTTTCCTAAAAATTAAAAATATCCTCAAATTGCCTAAAATTTTTGGAAAATAATAAATCATAATCAAGATACTTAAAAGCTTGTGAAAACTTTACCATATTTTATGAGTTTACCGGAATCTGTAAAATCGAATCAGTTGCTGTAAACGAGTTAACGGAATACCGCACTCGCCCATGTCAGTCTTGGCTTGGGCGGGTTTATCCTTGCTCCGGTTTTGGCCGTCCTGGCTTCGTTAAGTGATTAATCATGCTCGTATATTTTCCAAGTGAAATTCAATTTGGACCGCAACGTCAGTACAGGAACCACAACTGCCGTCCAGGCGACAGCACCATATAAGAAAATAAAGTAAAAAAAAAAAAAGAAATAATAAATAAAACTCTCTGGAAAAATTCAAACAGCAAAAAGGACAACCCCCTTCGGGCGGCAGTTCGATAAAATTGCCAACAAAACTGCATCCTGTCGGCATCGAAAAGTGACGGTGAGTGGAGTTTTCTGCAACTGAAAGCATCTTTGGTTATTATCTCGGAAAATACGATCGAAAACCTGAACAGCATCTCCAAGGAAAAAACAAATTGCCATCGGGCAGGAAATCCAATAAACTTGGCTAAGCGACGAATTAGCCTTTGGGAAGCGATCGAATCTAGTTCCGAGAAAAGTTTGACAGTTTTCTTCTTATTTATTTGGTTCTTTATTTGTTTTGAGCAAATTAGTTGCGTTGCCTTTTTGACCAGCGCAAGCAGGCCACAAACCCAACACACACTCACACAATTTGCCAAGGATAAGCAGAGGACCTTTTTTGTCGAAGAGGTGGGTGGAGGCATGACCGCACAGCGGGAAATAAATTAAGCCCCGAGTGATATTTTTTAGTTTGGTAATTTAAATGTAAAGCAGGGGTACAAAACAGGCAGAAAAAAGTCCCAGAATCGGGGCCAACAAGGTCGACAAGGACGAGGACAAGAACGGTTTGGTTAATCATACGCCATGTCGTCCCGGCTCGAAGCCTCAAGCAGTTGGTCCCACCCCAATGAATTTCCTGTCGTTACCGCCTGTTTTGCATAAATTAGTAAGTTTTTACTTTTGGCCAAGACAGAGTGGCAAGAAGGGAGTGGGTATGCCGTTGGTGGAAAATAAGCCAGGGAAAATAATCAGGACACGAGGCAGGCAACAGCATCCGTCTGTCTGGTAGTTGTCGCCTGCAGCGGGCTTCCCTTCCGCCTGCCATATAAATCAATTTTAATTTAATCACTTTATCGCTCTAATAAATCATGCGCCACTCGCAGGAGTTATGAATGGAGTGGGGGGGATCGCTGGAGGGGGATATAAATGCGGATGCTAATGCTGCCATAGCTCGATTGTTGTTAACAATAAAGCGAAGAACTGCTAACAAAACAAAATTTAAATATCAAGTTGAGGCGGCGGCAGAGTCGAGAGCCAAGACGATGACGGTGACGAGGACGATGACGGTGACAACGCGAAACAAAATAAAAAAACTTTCTTCATTAAAAATTTTAATGACTTTCCCTCTATTTGCGCAAGGTAATGAAAGTCAACAGAGTCACTATGTTTGCACGAGTGTGTGCTCCTGGCACATAAATATTTCACACAATTTTCCCTTATTTTTTAAACGATGCAAATTCTATTCCAAAGTCTTTTGTTTATTTTTATTTCCGTTTTTTCAGGCCTCTCCTCTTTTTTATAGTTTGTAGGATGGGTTTGTTTGGACTGCTCTTATCGTGATTGGCATACAACAATAAAATTCATTACAGTCAATTAATGCTGGAAAATACCATAAGCCCACATCACTCAAAGCCTAACATACATCTTGGCATAAAAGCAAATTCCATTGAATTGACACAGACAGACACAAAACCTGGTTAATTAAGCAGCTCATTCTTGTGCAAATTCCTCAAAACATTTGTTATCGTATTGATTTTATAATTAAGACAAATTCCAGCCAATTAAATCAAATTACTCCCCAAAAGCTTTCGACAGACAGCACACATGACCTGACGCAATAAACGAGTATGTCTTATGGCTGAGGGTCTCAGCCGTAACACCTCAAGGTCCTGGGCTTTCACACTAATAGATTAGCAATTAAATGCCACCCGCCATTAACGGGTAATAATACGCCAGGCTCGAAGGATTCGCTCCGCGCTGGCAATCTGCTCCGGCAGTGTGTGTTTTCTGTTGTTTATGGCACGCCCCCTGCCGTGCACCGCCCACTGATATATGTACACTACGCATAATGACAATAGCTCGCGCCGCACACACAAGTCGTGTTGAAGTTGATAGCCCGCTAAACTATTTATTTGCATATAAATATTTCAGAACCGAGCAAAGGACCCAAAGCTCTAAGAATCTACTTGTATATATATCCTCGTGCATGTAACGGCCCTTGTGTGCTGGTTAAGGAAAATAGAAAAGCCCCATTTGCCAGGCATTTCCTTACAATACTTATAGAACACAGGTAGCAGGGCTTGTAGCTGCGCCGCTGCTTTTGTAATTGAAATAGTTTGCGAATCGGATGTTTATGTGTTCATATGTGTGGTGAGCTGTGCTCGTATGCTAAAAATGCTTTCGATAATACAAAAGGAAATCCATTTGCCACAGCGGAATTGTTTACACACAACACACAAGTGGGAATAAACAGGGAGGCTCGCTCTCGAACTCTGAGAATTGAAATTCTCCAACAAAAATAAGAAAGTTACTGCAATTACAGGAAAAAGAAAATATTGCCTAAAGCTAAAATTCATATTAAAGTTTTTAATTAAAAAAAGTTCCATTCAGATGCAAATGGAATCAGATCCTTAATATCATTTTGCCATTATCCTTACTATTTCGAAAAAGAAAAGCAGAGTTGAACCTGTTCGAGCAATATGAGTATTGCGCTATATTTTAGCCTCATTCATTGATTGCGTAGACAAACAATGAACGAAGCACTTAGGGAACAGGAAACAGGACAATATATTCACAACAGCGCCCACTAACACCCCTAAATCCGCTTTCACATGCTGTTTGCTTAGTGTTGCCGAAACCGAAAATCCCCGATAAACGGTGACGAAACGTCAGGTGGAATAATTCAACATTTCGTGGATGAACGATTACCAGCCACCCCGCTCCCTGCAAATTATAAATAAGGATATGTAGGCGTATCTGTACAGTTTACTGTCGCTGACAGTAGTCCAGCATTTTTCGGGGCTACGCATCGTCGGAGGCTCCTCCATATTTTAAGTACTTACATGATGTGCATTACATTTTATGGCTGTGTGCGGGTAATAAACCAGCGCAAGTGCAATTACCACAAAAGCAACAAAAACGGGTAGAGGCAAGCGGCAATTTGCAACAATGTGTGGCATTGGCAGGACGAGGGGCGGTCGGGGGGCGGGGCACTTAAATAGTTTTGCACATTAGCGCCACACTCGAAAGCTGGCCACGAAAATGGAAGCTGAACAACTTTGTCAGCCATCTTAACCCCAGTTATGATTTAAAAAGAAATAAATATGATTTAAATATTTATGTAGTTTTTTAAAGAAACAGAAAAATGCAGTTTATTAAATATCTTATTTAGAGAAAGAATAATGTCAAGGATTACTTGACACAACTACTTGGTGGCCCTCCAATATTTTGGCCTAAATTTCAAGTGATAGTAGGATCTAGGCTATGTGGCAAGCTATCACCATGAAGGGTTAATTAAAGCGTGCCACAATGTGAGGCCGCTTTAAAGTTCTTTCATCCGAATGTGGGTCCATATGAGTGCTGTTAGCAACGCCCCTGAAAGCATGCAATGCCAAACATTCGAAAACTTTTACACTGCCCGCAGCACATTAATCTTGAAGCTTGTTTGGATATTTCACTCACACTGCGGCTATACGTATTACATATACGAGTATATACGTTTATATTTATCATGGAATGACCCCGTCCAATGCGTGATTATTTGGATTTTGAAAGGTCGCTGTCGCTGCTGCCATAGTCGTCTCGTCGTAGTCGCCGATTTTGTTGAATGTTTTTGTTTCTGTTGGCTTGGCGACTTTCGAATCCCGTCTCAATGGCGGCACACTTGTAACACTAATGAAAATTCCAAATTCCAATGAGCTGTCAGCCACAACACAGCTACTGCTACTGCGACAGCGACGGCAACGTCATCGGCCTTGGCACAATGCCAGTAAATTGGGTCCGAGTGGTCATAATTTCGGTTGCACATTGCCCCTGGTCCGGCCGCCTCTGGTCCTGCCCCTTCATGGGCGGAGAAATTGTAACAAAATGCAACGAACTTGAAATTCCCCACACAAATTCTACAAAATGTAACTGACGCTGGTCCTTTTTCACTGCCTCCCAGATTTTGTTCAATCAATGCACTGCGAAAAATCACTGTGAAATACATAGTTTGAATTTGTATAGATTTTAACAATTATATAATATGGTCTTTGAAATCATTCTTCTTTAAAAGGTTATTCAAATATATATACAAAATAGAAGCCTTTTTCAAGTGTATCCTTTTCAGTTCCTGGGTGTGTTTTTAAAGGTATTGTCTTGGATTGCAGTCAGGATATACGTATGTACGTACATATGGGTGGGTGTGAGTAAGCCTGTGATGGCACTTTACGAATTGCTTTGGCGTATGTGGGCTAAAGGGTCGTTTTGTTAATAACTTATGACAGGCAGCCCAAGACTCACCTGGCCAAAATACACACACACGTGTGCACACACATTGTCGCGCCGAGAGGGGGGCTGGCGGGCCGAGTGGGCTTTGTTTTTGTGGTCGCCCCTACTGGCCAACTGGGGATGATTAATGTAGCAGCTGGAGGACTTGGGCGTTTGGCCAAAAAGGATTGAGGCCTGGGAAATTGATACGGCCGTCAAGTCGGCTTGAAGCCTCAAGGTAAGCCGAGAGAAATCAGACAGTTTCTGTAAAGATACATGAAAATGTGATCCGGCTAGTTATCGTATATGGGAGTGCTAATGAAGAATGCTGCCTCCTTGGGTGACTTTTATTGGGCCGACAAAAGTCTCTCGGCCGTCAAATGGGACTCTATTACTTTGCCGCTCCATTTGAAATTTCCCAAAGGGGCCGCCCTCTGTTGTTCATTTCCATTCCGTTCAGGACCTTAAAAGATCGACCAGAGTGTCGGTTCTGCATTTGCTTAACTAATTCCCAACACGTGCTGTCACTTAGAACTGTCCCTTCATTTTTTCCCCATTTCTCGCTTGAACTTGCGGGTCCTGAACTTTAGGCCTTCCAAGAATCGGAGGCTTACAATTTCAAGAAGCGCCAGTTCAATTGGTCTAATTGACTTTTTTCTTTTTGGCGGCGGCGGGTAAAAGTTTTCGGTACGCCCACCCAACAACAAGAAGAATTAACAGCCAATAATCGATGAAGTGGCCTGGGTCTTGCTAATCTAAGCCGCCCAGCCACCTCATCCCCACTTTCTCTTCACTTCGCTCCAGAAATTATGCCACAAATTTAAATTGCCACAT